GGCCGGGCCGAGTCGGGCGTGGGCCGGACCTACTTCTCTGACCCCGGGTCTGGAGCTGGACCCTACCAACCCGTGACGCGGGTATATCATGTTAGTATTTGTTTATAAAAAACAAGATAATCCTACATTGGAATTTTGAACATTCTTTTAGAGGTTTTAAAAGCATTGAATGCTTATTGGGCTTTGAATAATGAATCAAAGTATAGGCTTCTAAACCCGCGTGCGGGTAGCGCGAATAATGCGCGATTTTGACGCGATTATTAGACGCACTTAGTACTTTGCACGCTTGCCACTTAAATGTTCTATTTTTTATATATATATATATATTTTAAAATGTTATTTTGAATTTAAAAAAAAATTATGAAAAGACAAGTGACTGTTGAAAAGTGGCTGTTTGCTCCAAGGGGTGTTTTGAAAAGTTGTGACGGTTGGAAGCACCTTTTCAAAACCTATAAATAGTTTATGTTTTCAGATATCTATTAACAATTCTTTTCTAAATCTTTTCTATCAAAAACTTCTGCAATTTTACAAACTTGTTTCACAACGAATTAAGGAAAATTCCGGATTTGCTTACTGGAATTTTTATTTTCTGTTGTATCCTGGGAAGAAAATTTGCATTAACCCGAAGCAACTTTTCTGTTGTATCCTGGGAAGAAAATTTGCATTAACCCGAAGCAACTTTGAATATCAAGTGGGGGCAAATATTGCATTAACCCGAAGCAACTTTGAATATCAAGTGGGGGCAAATATTTCTTTAAGGAAAGTGTTTCACGCCTTAGAATTCCTGTCTCCTTCAATTTTAAAACTAACATATCATGGGCCACGCTGGATCATGACCCATGACGGGGTTAGGCTGGGTCAGCCGACAGGTTGACCCGACCTATGCCCAACCTAAGTGAATATGTTTATAGTGAACTTACCTCTCCACAAGAGAATAAAATGCAATAGTATTGGATCTGTGGGTTTGATGTCATAGTTTTCCCATTATCTATATTGCGCAACTTGCTTGATCATGAGGTGGAGCTGATCATTTTCATAGACGCAATGTCAGCCGTATTGGTTATAAGGCTTAAGACAAAAGATCTAGGGCTACATGACATCTCATTTATTAGATTGATTATTTTCATTTATTAGGAGGTTGACCGTTGATTAAACATTCTAGGAGGAAAATTTCCCATCACAAGGAGATCTATTTTAAAGTCAGTCTCTATGGGTCACAGCTGTTTTTAATTGATTCATAGTTGCTTTGCCTAAGGTGCCTACATTGTTGATATAAGTGTGATATAGTAAAATAGGAGATTTAGTTACTATAGTCAGTTTTCCATATTGCTACTACCCCAAATGTAAAGTTATTCAGCAGTAGCATATTGTTCCATGGAGGTCCAAAATATGGAATAAACAAGTGTTTCCATAATTCTACGATCCGGCCAATTTTTTCCACTTAATCCATTTTTCATGGCCACATATCTTTAAGGTTAAGGAATGAGAAATCTTTCTCCTGTTACATGAATCAAATGTTTTATTTCATCCGGGAAAAGCCATCGCTTGGGACAAATGTTTTTGTGAGAAGATTTAAGGACATGATCTCTCATCTGGACGTGCTTGAATTTTCTTGAAGTTAATATCAGCCCCTAAAAAGGTTAAATTGGTGTTTTTGAACTTCACGTTGACTGCGTACATGTATGGCAACAGTGGGAAGTTCTTTCTGTTAGGAATATAAGCTGTTTAGACAAAGATTAACAGGAATTAAGTTTTAAATAGTTGATTATTAAATCAGATAATATCAGATAACTATTATAACTTAGAAATATAATTGAATCAAATGAAAGTAAATAAAAGTTAGAAATACAGCCTGATGGTCGAGGCGTGCAAGCACTGTCCTAAGAATCTAATTGCCCCCCTCTCGTAGAGGGCTACACAGCAAAAGTTCCTGGAGATATAACGACCATCGGTCAGACGACCTCCTTCTCGTCGGCACGAGCTTCAAGAAGGCTTTGCGAATTCTCCTCAACTTTCAGGAAACCAGCGGAAGCAGAAAACTATTTGAAAAGAGAAGAAGTAGAGAAGAGATCTGTTGTTTTTCACTGTGTCCCAAGAATCTAAATCATGTTATAAATGTTAATCATGGTTTTTAATTTGCAAAAATAAAAATAAAAATGTAGTAGATTAAGGGCCCTATCCGGAGCTGCATTCGTGTCCGCAGGTCGTGTGCGCGAGCCACCCGAGCCCGGCCCAGCCGGCGCGCGCGTGTAAAGTTATCTTTATTATAAAGACCCTTCCTTCCTATTCCATTTTTCTATTTGGGACTAAACTTTCCCATTACAATATCAAGTTTTAAATTATCTTTATTATAACTCCCAACACTTTCTGGATTCACTGAGATTCTGGGAATAAATCTGAGTGCTATAAATGACCGTAGAGATGTTTTGTGAGATCAAGCATCTAAAAAACATATTAGTAAGAAATAGTGTGGTTAATTGTGTCTAAACTAGGTTCCTTAATTCTTTGTTATCACAGTGCTGTAGCAGTCACATAATTCCTTTTGAATGATTTTGGAGGATTAAGTTGTGTCCCAAAATAAAAGTTTATTGTAGTTTAATGATATATCTTCAGTAGAAAATTGCATAAAATTAATTCAGCATCATGTAGATGTGAAAATAACATTGGTCTGTAAACATCACAACCATCTGTTAAGAAAATTCTCATGGAAACGGTTATTTGGTGTGTACTAGTACGAAAATTTAGTGTTACTATTCTCATGGTACTACATACATCTTAGTTGATGAGCTTTCGTAACGTGATAACATCAGTAATTTGTTGGACATGAGGAATGTAACATGTATATTCATGCATAAATTAATTCACTAATTGATAACATCAATAGTTGGTTGGTCATGATGAGTATAGCATGGATATTGATGGGGATTCTATGGCCAACGACTTGCAGTCTCAACACTCACCCACAATAATAGGCCAAGGGGTGTTAACGGCTCGGATATGACTCGGGTATGATACCCATATTCGCTTACAAATAACAAATACGGATATTGAACAAATATGTCTCAGTAAGGAAAACTTATCCGTATCTGTTAAAATCGGATATGGATATGGACACACATGCGGCCATGCAGTGTTATTGAAAGTGCGAGCTTCACTGCATGTCAATGCTCTATGTGATGCAAGGCAATAGCAAAGGGCCCCACATTTGATGCGGCAACGCATTTTGCACCTCACAAATGACCTTTGCGGGTGGATGCAAGGCAGTCTCTAATATTTTTATTTTTTAAAATTTCAATCGGGTCTTTATACCCGATAATTCATATCCTAAAAAAGCAAAGTAAAGCCATTATGGTTTTAGTAACCCGATTGAGGACCCTAAGTTTTACTTCAATAATATGATTTGACTTTTGATTTGTAAAATTATGAACTTCGCTACTATGTTGGATGTGTTAGTATTAGGAATTAAGATCTTATTTTGTGATTTCGTAGTAGATATTGTTTATCTTGACATGCTTTTATGTGAAA